AGAGTTGCGATGGGGACGCCCCGCCCACACCCACCTGTAGCGAGGCTGCTCAGACGTCTCCGAGGGCGACCGCTCAGGGATGGAGAGGGAGGTGGACGACAGGGTGGTGGCAATGGAGGCGGTAGTGGCTTCTTCGAAGGAGGGAGGCGTGCAGGGCAGCAGGTCTGGCCGGCCTGGTGGTGGGGGTGCAGCTCAGCACCCCTGGCCCAGGCCCCCTGTGCTCTATCCAAGCACGCACACTTCTACAGTGCTAATGCCACCCGCCACCCCTCACTGGCCTGGCAGACCCCCAGGCTGCTCACCCTCGTCCTCCAGCGTGGGGTAGCTTCGGGCCCCTCGTAGGTCGTACTGTGCATCCTCACGCTCGCTGGGGATCTGGCTGGCTGAGAAGGCAGCCGTGGGCCCCAGGGGCTTGACAGCCAGCAGGGCGCCACGCCCCTTCTTGGAAGGTGAGGACTTCAGGGCTGTGGAGGAGGGTGTGGGGCGGGATGTCAGCATGGGTGCAAATAAGGAAACTGAGTCTAGGTGGCCAGCACCGCCAACTGGCAATCACACAGCCAGGCCAGCCCAGTGGAGGCTCAAGTCCACACCAGCAGGGCAGTAGCACTGAGGTCACCACTGTCCCCCACCTGACCGGTCCCCACCCCCACTCCTCAGTGTCAGGGCACCATCAACTTACAGGAGTTTTTCCGGAAGACGGTGTTGCTCATGAACTTGAAGAACCGCTCGGCATAGAAGCTGGGCCGGTGCACGGAGACCGTGTCCTACAGAGGGGCAGGGGCGTGGCCAGGGCGAGAGGGGGCGGGGCTGATGAGCAGGGCTGGTACTCTGTGTGTAGTGGGGAGAGTTGGTGAGGAGCTGGGTGCTACTAGGGGTCGAAGCGGGGGCATTCTGAGGAGCCCTGGTGGCATCATGGGTTACATGTTGGGCTATTAGCTTCAAGGTTGGCAGTTCAAACTCACTAGCCACTCCTGAGGTGAAGGATGAGGCTTTCTGCTCCCATAAAAACTGACAGCCTCAATCAGATCAGTGGGTGCCCACCTTCCTGATACGATCACTGAAGACAAACGTGTACATAAGCAAAAGTGAAGAAAGCTGATGGTGCCAGGTTATCAAAAGACATAGCGTCTGGGGTCTTAAAGGCTTGAAGATACACAAGCGGCCAACTAGCTCAGAAGCCACAAAGCCCACACGGAAGAAGCACAACAGCATGCGTGACCACGAGCTGTCGAAGGGATCAGGTATCAAGCATCCAAGAACAAAAAATCATATCATTGTAAATGTGGGTGAGTGCAGA